GAGTTTAGACAATTGCTCATATGAGGGGGCCCTCTGGCTCTGGGAGCTCCCCGAAAAAAAACATTGTAAGGAAACGGCCAGAGGAGGCGATTCAGCCTATCCTTGAGGGTTTAGTGTTTAGGGCTTAGGTTCTAGCATATAGGGTTTAGGATTCAGGGTCTAGGGTTCAGGATCTAGGTTTTAGGGTGTAGGGTGTTGACACGAGGGCTCAATTTGTTGCTCCAAAAAATGGAGAATCAAATAGAAAAGAACATGGAAGATGAAATGGAAACTGGGGTCTACATGAGTTTGGCCGTAGTGGTGCTGGCACAGGAGAGGATTGTGTACGAGAGCCCTCAACGAACATTGCCCTAAACCTTAACCCGTTCTCCACACTGGGGTGGCAGAGTGGTCTAAAATCCCAGTCTGCATATCACATACTCTAGAGTTGGGTAGTTGCCAGGTGGGTACCCTCAAGGAGGTCCTTAAAATCCTCTCCTGCATAGCGGGGATCGACTCGCCACATGGTTTCAGGCTTTAGCGTCACAAGCATGTGGGTAACGTAGACCCATGATCTCCTTCTAAGGGCTTTAATATTAGGATCCCTATTATACTCCCTATTATGGGTTATGCATCGCTCGCTTCAAGGTACAATATTTACTCCAATCAGCCCTCAACCTCAAACCCTGCGGCAACTAACCACGACCATGCCCTGTGAAAGGGCCCCCTTTTTCATGATATCCCCCATGTAAAGAATGATATATGCATACCATACTGGGAACACTGAAAACTAGGGGGGGTGATTTGAGGGAAGTGATCACCTTTGTTGTCTACTCTTCACCGTTCTGGCCAACAGCGTGACTGAGGGCTAAAGCAGCGAAACACGTGCCGCCCTTCGCCTCACACATGCACTGGAGCTCGTCCCCCCTCTCCTGAACGGCGCGTATCTGCAACGCAAAGGAGATCCCAGCCACCAGTAGCATCATTCCACAAAGCACCCGTCCGCGTGTGATGCAGCTCAGCCCAGTGCGAGAACTCAAGTCCCAAACATGCGGATCGCTGCTCCTTAGTTTTCTGTCCAAGAGCTTCTTGCTGGACGTTCTACCACAAGCTGCAAAGAGCAAGTCGTCAATGGTGACAAGGAAGGTCAATGCCAAGCTGTTCAGCACCAAGTCCTGAATGTTGCGAACGATAAGCAAGTACATAACCCCAATGACGAAGATGGCACAGTGGAGCAGCGTATTGAGCAGCAGGATAGCAAAGGTTCCCATATTCAGCCGACCGCAGCTTGGCAGGGAGCGGAGGATCAAGTCCTCTACAAGTATAGTTTGAAACACTAGGGTTATCTAATAAAGGGGCCTAAATGCTTATTAATATCATTTTGAGGTCCATTTGAGGGACCATATACTATAATGATACGAAGAACATGGAACCATAGTATTGGTTATTATTTAGGCCCCTGTAGTATGCTGGTGTTTGTAAGAGACTATAGAATAACACCTGGTTCAACCTATTATAACTCAGCCTTTTCCCTACCTAGAGTCCTCCTCGCTGCTAGACAGATCTCTTGGCTCACAATTCTGGCAGCTGTCCGTGCAGGGCAAGTGTACGAGCAGCTCCCACCACGCGACCAGTTGTACAAACTCTGGAACCACAGCCAAAGCCCACAGCAATACGATCCAAAACAAAAAGATCTGAAAGGCTGCCGTCCGGACAGCAAGACGACCGTTGTACAGCTCACTGGCCTCATATTTAACGAAAGATTGCCCATCTCTTTTTTCCTTACTTCCTTGGCCACACGCATCCAGACGTTGCGCATTCCAACTATCAAAATTCCAGAACAGCCTTGGGCAAAAGCGGCGCACGATGGTCTCGCATAGGCTACGGGCATCGTGCAGTTGCCCAACCTGCGTGAAGCCCGATAGCTTCAGGAATAATGGCAAGGTGCCTTCCTCCAACATGCTAGCAATCCAAGACTTCAGCTCGTCTCCCTGCTTCGCATAATGCCGGTGCACAAGGTTTCCACAGAGGTCTACATCCAGAAGCATACACATGTTCATCATGTGCCCAATTTCCCGTTCATAGAAATATCGAGGAATCCCTGTAAGGAGCTGGAGACATTCCCCTTGCAGTCCTGACAGGTGTAAAGGGACTCTACTGGGAACC